CGCGGCACATAGATGTCGAACAAGATCGGTGTAAATGCGTGTGTTGTCGGGCAGGGCCTGGGAGGCTGGGGTTTCGGCTGAGCTGGGGAGGCGCCCCAGCGCTGAGCGGGTTGAAGGGAGGAGGTGCGCAGGAAGGCTTGGTCTTCGGTGGACCGGGGAAGCAAAGATTGCGCATATCGGCCCATACAGATTTGGCAAAGCTTTCCAAGCGGTTGCCCACCCCAACCCACTTCTGCCGCCCTCTGCTCTGCCCTGTTGCCCTCCCTCCTGCTCTCCCTCTGCTCCGCCCTGCTTAGCCTTGCCCTGCCCATCCATCAACCGTGTCAGAAATCATTGTACGGGCCAACATGCTGGCCCGGCCAAGTCCAGAGCTTGAAGATCCATGACGAACTGGGAGTGGGCCAAAGCACACAGGCCTGGACAAGCCATCCTGGCAATAGTATACATCTATATATGATGCCGCTTCTCGGTTCCCACCCCCATATGGTATCCCCCCCCCCGGCCCGCTTCCAGCCAGACCAAATCCCTGTAACTGTTTGCACTTCTTCCACATGGCGGCTCCAAAACCGTCAACTGTCACGAGGATTTCTTCCCAAACACACCCGATCCTTGTGACAGGGCACACTTTTCAACCACGACTCCGACATCAGGATTTAAAATCACAACTGTCAGGAGGATCACATTCCTGACAGGCCCCGTTCCCGTGACAGTTGACCCAAGAAAGGAACCGGATGAGCACAAATCCCTGTGACTGTGCGCGCTCCTTCCATATGGCCTCTCCAAATCCGTTGACTGTCGGCACAGGATCATCATGGATGATGAGGATGATTAGCATGATGGTGAGACATGCCAAACTACACCGCACCATGTCGATGATGGTGAGCATGATGATGAGGCATACACAGAACTACACCACACTGCAGCCCAAGCAGAAACCAACCCGAACCACACCACACCACAGAGGGGAGGGGAGGCACACCAAGTAGACCCAAATGATGATGATGATGATGATGTCGCTGCTGCCGCAGTAGGGCCCGGGCCGCGGGCACAACCGCACCACACCACNNTCGGGGGGGGGGGGGGAGAGAACCACACGGCTACACCACAGCGGGGAAGGGAGAGAACCACACCACAGAAGGGAGTGGAGACTCCCAAAACAGCGGGTTTACTTCCAGGCACCGTCGGCGTCATCCCCAACCTTGGGTCCTTTCACCGAAAAGCCACACGGAGTTTGGGCTTACGGGCTTGGTCGTTTGTTATAGTCAGGGTAAATTTAGGGACAAGTCATGGGATTCAAGGGTTAAGGATTTAGGTTTAAGGTTCAGGGTTCACTTGCTTGCTTCAAGTTTCGTGCCCCTGAGGCCACGTTGGCCCTAGACCTAGACCATCCACCCTCATCTGTAGCCTCTTCGCTCCGAAACCTATAAAAGTGTGCAGTCTCGCCATTTAATCTAAGGTTAGAGGTATGGGCCCCNNTTAAAGGTACATATAGGGTATACAGCATATAGCAGGTGTAAGCAGGTGTATAGGGATCCCAGCGGTTAGGGGCCCATACTAGGGGCCCATGGCTTCAACCTTACATTCAAGGGTTCGGAGTCGGGGTGTGGTATTTCGGTGATTCGGGAGAGACTTCGGGGCCTGAGACGCAACCTATACCACAGGGATCCATAGGTTTGTAGGGTCTACCTGTTTAGGCTAGTCTAGGGGTTTAGGGTTTAGGGTTAAGCGATGTGTCAGTTCGCTGACAAGAACACCTGCAACAGCTGGCTAGGGGACCCCCTCCGGTACACAGATAGACAGCAACTCCGGAAAACCCTCTTTTTGTTCTTAAAACACTTTTTAAACCGGTTCCGGAAACCCTGAATGAACCCAATTCGAAATATCTGAGCCCCACCACAATCCCTCAGAGCCCAAACTCCGCCCCTAGAACATCTGAATGGCCCATGGATCCTGACCCCTGACCCCCTAAACCCTTCATAAGGGTTTATAAGTTTAGGGTTTAGGGTTGTATACACCCTAAACCCCAAACTTTACCTGAACCCTAAACAACAAAACCCCAAGCCCTAAACCCTAAACCCCAAACCCTCAAACAGTAGGCCCGGAGCGCGCCTAGGAGTCGAGCCATCGGCGCTCGGTAGAAGTCCTGGGGCCGGTTTGCCGCACGAGAGGCTCAGGGACGCAGGGCTTTAGCGTTCGTAAGAGTCTTACGGCTCTGAATGGGCTGTGGATAGATTGGTAATGGCTTCAGAAGCAGTAAGGGTGTTAAAAAGGCCTCCGAAAGAGGGCCTTTATACTGAAAAGATGGGTCTGAATCATTCGACTAGGGATTTGAGTGTATGCAAGCATGTCGGGCTTCGACTTCAGGGATTAGGTGCCTGAGCATGTCAGCAGCCACGGACTGAGGATGCTTCTGTGAGTAAAACTGTTTCGGTTCTCACTGTCATGAACAGCACTTTTACACATGAACTACATAGCTAGCTGTGCAAGAACTATTGAGAGTATGCCGACTGCAAGTACTCTGAGTCTTCTTAGTAGCCTCTGCTTCCTCATTTAGCGATATGAGCCGTCTGCTCATACCTTGTCCAAGGCAACTAACGACCCTAAACCCTAAACCCACATTAGCACCCAAATACATCCCTAAACCTACGAAGATTCGCCTGAGATCCGGACAGGCATGGAGGCAGGGTGCCTCGCCAGGCAGGCGACCTCGCGCAGCTTGTCCTGGTGTTTGGGCTCTACATAGTCTAGGCGCCTTCATAGTTAGAATAGGGTTTGGGGGTTATTTTATATTGTTATAATAAGGAACCCCCAAAACCCTATTCTGATTATTTATAGATAGGGGGCCGAGGCCGGGGCTTAGGGTTGACAGACTTAGACGGGCCTGAATTACCCTTAGAGATGGGTTTAGGGGATTTAGGGTTTGGGTTTAGGTTTAAGGTTTAGGGGATTTAGGGCTTGAGGGATTTAGGGTTTAGAGTTTAGGGTTTAGGGGGCCCCACAAGCCCTAAACACCCCGAGCCCCGTAGCAACCCTGAGAAAGTTCAGCTTGGGGTTCACCCTATATCGAAAAGACAAGACCCGTTGGACATACTGCAAGTTCCCATTAAAAAAAAGAGAAACACATAATAACAAACGTCTGATGAAACAGACCGATTCTTTCTGACCAAACAGGCCCTTCTTGATTCGAGGTTCCCGGCAAAAAGAGAGCTTCATCTAAGGACCAGGGGTGTATTAATCAGGTTCCTACTTGTTTTGTTTACGGTTTAGGGTTTAGGGTTCAGGGTTTAGGGTTGGGATGGGACATGGCGCCCTGAGACCCGAAATGGCAGGACCCAGATCAAGAGCCCTCATCAGACTCGGAGCACGAGACCTACACTACTTTTAAGGGGGTTTAGGGTCTAGGGTCAGACCACAAGTCCTGAAAAAGCCTGCAACAATTCGAGAAAGTTTGGCAGGCATTATGTTAAAGGAAGCTATAGGGTAATTACCCACCTGAAAATGTCCTAGATTATAGTAAAGGACCAGACGAGGATACTAAGAGCTCTTGGGATTCTCAGTTGGTCCTGGGCCAAATGTCTCGATGCAGCAACGCTGGACAGAAGTCGTTGCATCTGCGACGCCTTGTCAGCGGTATACCTGAGATCTTGGGTGCAGTGTAGGGTGTTTGAGGGTTTTGGCTTCAGGGATCAGGGTTTAACTTCAAGGGTTTTAGGGCTCCCAGTTCAGGGTATATATATATGGTCGCGCCTTGAATGCACCACACCACCAAACCAAAAAGTCTGGCGGTCTGAGTCCAGGACTCACATTCCTACAATGCAGCGTCGTCTGAGGCAGGGGGCTTAGGTCACACCTCCCTCAAGGCTCCATATGGTCCCCTAAGCCCTAAAAATGGCCAACCACGCCAAGCACGCCCTACTACGAATGGACAAGCAAGTCAACCGATAAGATTCGCCTGACACCCGGGGCCAGTGCCAACAGAGCTGTAACTTGGTAAATTGGGCGCTTGTTAGCACAATAAAGAAACCATATTATTTGCTATAGATCCCGATTATGGTAACTTAAATAAACCCCCTTAACAAGAACCCGAGAAAATTGGGCAGCCAACTCTGAGGCTTTCTGGTTGCAGCCTCCCGGGGTTCAGAGTGCAATGCTGGATGTAGGCTTGATGGCTTGCGGGCCTGGGGTTACGAGCTGGGGGTTTTAGGCGGTCGTGGGCTCTGTGGCTTGGGCTTTCTGGTTGGGCCTCATCGCATATTGAGGCATGGGAGGAGCATCAGTTCTGGAGGTGCCAAAATGATTGGCAATACTAATTCGTTCTTCTTTATATATAGAACCCAAAAAGCCCCCATACATTGTCTAACATGTCGGGGTATGGGATGACGTAGCGACTTGCATCGATGTGCGGTCTCAAGACCTGGTGGCGCCTGGGTTTCTTGTTGCGGAAGATCGCGCTCGGCCCTACCTCCAAGCCCCAAACCATGAAATCCCTGGAAACCCCAAACCTAAACCCTAAACCCTAAACCCTGAAAGCTTAAACACTAAACTCACTAAACCCTAAACCGAAAGCCCGGAACCGCCAAGTTGGAACAACTTTGCAGCCGCAGGTACCCTTGCCGGTGGGCAAGGGGAGCCGACCCACTATCCAGCCACTCTTGAGACAAAAGAAGCTGCAGGGTAATGGCAAGGGCTTGAAAGGCTTATAAAGATGTCGGTGAAGCCAAGTTCGAAATATATTAATTTCGGTTGCAGTACGTGCCAATGTGAATTTAGACACCATGTTTATGACTCGTGCTGCTGGTACTAATGAGTCTTGCACGTTCAGTATTCCGGCTGTTGGTGAGGCTCAACAACAACTTGTGCAACTTTCAATTTTTATATGTGAACATGCTCTTCTCGTTGTTGATGCCCATTGCATTACAGTAACATCCGCGAGTTACCGGCACAGAACTCATCTTCTGACTGACATATGCATTTATTCAGATGGCCCTGATGAAGCATCTTCACCACTTGACTTGCGACGCCTTAGGGTGTCGGATTTCCGCACAAGCACCCAATTCTGAAGGTGAGCCTGTCTTGAACGGTGCTGTCAAGAATTTCCAGAGGACCGGGCCCGAAACAACTCTCGACACTGAACCCCAAGCCCTAAACCGAAGACGGTCTCCTAAACCTCCGAACCTAAGCCGCTCGAATGAAGGGATTGCAAGGTGTTCTTCGCTCGCTGAGCCGAGGCCTGCGAGCCGCTGCATCTTGGCTGGCGACTGTTGGAAGTGCTTGGCCTCAAACAGATCATCAGCCATCTCCTTGCCATCACCGAGTGGCGCCGCAAACAAATGATCGACAAAGAGGCCCACAAGGAGCTGGCCAAAATGGAGACCCAGAAGCGAAAGATGACCGCGAGCAGGCGGAGTTGGATGCATCCAACTCCGCCTGCTCGCGCTCAATCTTTCGCTTCTGGGTCTCCATTTTGGCCAACTCCTTGTGGGCCTCTTTGTCGATCATTTGTTTGCGGCGCCACTCGCTGATGGCCCCCTGCTCCGTCATTTCCTCATGGCTGATCTTCATCACCATGAAAGCTTTGGCTTCTCTGCTGAACCTGCCACTCATCTGGCTCAGCACCTTGCAAGAGTGCCCACCACCAGCAGCAGCCCCCAGGCAGGCTTTGCAGTTGGCCATCTTGATGATATACGGTGAGCATACAGCACAATAGCACCCGAGCCAAGGTACACGGCCCTTGGCCTTGCTCAGCGGATCTTCGGCCGCTTGCTCCTTCTTGGCCAGCCATTCCTGCACGTAGCCACGTGCAGCCTGTAGCCGGAGCCATCTTTCTGGATCGCCACCTTTGTCCGGGTGGTGAACCAAAGCCAGCTTCCGGAACGCTGCTTCGACCTCC